TTGCATGCACGTAAGTATGGCCAACCAATGGACATAAGACACAGGGGGGGGGGTAAGGGCAGGCAATTGTCAAGGGCTGGGAATAAAAGCAAGCATATATAATACTCATTCTAATAAATCAAGCAATAAAACAATTAAAACAAACAAACAAACAAAAAGATGTCTTAGCCTGAAGAACTTTTCCTTTGTGTTTTCTAACTCAGGAACCTTTTCTGTAACTTGCTTCACATCTTAAACTGGAAGCCTGGACATTCCAGGGGATGAAAACCCATGAATAGCTTTAGAGAGATACCTATTGTACACCTGTTCCACAGAGTACATGTTTTTCTTAATGACTTTTGGCTTCAGTTATTGTGGCAATAGGGTAAAAGGAAGACAGAGGTCAAAGGGAGTATAAATAAGAATCAATTTCCCTCAGTGTCTATGAGATAAGCGTGAGAGAGACACAGAGAGAAGTTGGATGTACCTATCTAATAAAGAGGGAATATGCTAATTGACCCTCATGCTGTCGCAAAGATGGCAGCGCCCACAACTAATAATGATGGAATATGCTAATGGACTGCCCTCCCCTCAAAGATGGTGGTGCCCACAGCCACAAGATGGCCTGCAGGTTAGGGCACTTATAGGTGATCAGGCCAGCAGGGAAGGGCAGTTAGGGCCAACTGGGCTGGCAGAGGAGCAGTTAGGCGTCGATCAGGCTGGCAGGGGAGTGGTTAGGGGTGATCAGACTGGCAGGCAGAAGTGGTTAGGGGCAATGAGGCAGGCAGGCCAGTGGTTGGGAGCCAGCAGTCCTGGATTGTGAGAGGGATGTCCAACTGTCGGTTTTGGCCTGATCTCCTGAGGGGTCCCAGATTGGAAAGGGTGCAAGCTGGGCTGAGGAATACCCTCCCCAATAGTGCAATAGATAGTTATCTATTCCATAACTATCTTGGAATCCCTCTCCCACCACAAGCCTTCCAGAAATGGAGAACTGAAGAATTTCTTGTGAGTCAGGGACAAGAGCAGACCCTGGCCAAGTAGCCCAGTGTTTCTATTTCTCTTGGCTGATAAGCAGGTTGGGAAGAGTGGGAAATAAAAATGCCAGACGCGTGCTGCAGGAACACTCCTTCCTGTAGCATCTGCCCTGCTGTCTCACTGGAGCGGAGAAGAGGCTCTACTCACTCCTGAGGACATGAAGCCCTTCAGCTCCCTGGAAAGAGCGAGGCTGGCCAGGAAAGGGAAACATTGACCTACATACCTAACTGCTGAGGAGCCCATATAAAACCCCAGACCCTTCTCTGTCACTGAAAGTCATAATCTGAACCAACACATGAAACATGGAGATGTGCCTGGGCAAACAGAGGAAAGGCTTTCTAATGAAAGAGAATTACTACCAGAATACAAAAGAATGTCAAATCAACTTTTATCTAGTATATTCACTTAGATTAAAAAAACTATTCCTGTACTTAAAATAAAGGAGTAGATAGCTACAAAAGATAAAACTTTCTTTTATAATAAAGAAATAATTACTAAATGCACAGTACAGTACAGTTACCTATAGGTAGAATGTTATTCAGTAGATCTTTAGAACATATTCACCTTGTATAACTGTTGAACTGCAATGTGATTGAAAGCCAACTGTCACACAGCAAATTCAAAGAGAATGTTTAGAGAAAATAAATTACAACCTAGAATTGTATAATAGAAGACTATCTATAAGATCAAATACATTTCAAAATTTTAAAAACAGAATGTTAGGTACAGATTAAAGGGGTCAATGGGGAAGTAAAGTGGACATCTGTGATACTTTCAACAATAAAATTTTTTTTAAATAAATAGATAAATACAAAACACAATGTTTATTATGCAAAAAGATGAGATTAAAAAGTATGTGGTTCATTAATCTAGTTCTTCTATTTCAAAACACAACAAAGGTACTGATATTTGAAGTATATTAGTATTCATTCATAACATTCACTATTTGAACTCACAGAGAAAATTAATAAACACCAATTTGGACCTCTGCTTATGTGTTAAGAATTGAGAAAGTTAGTATAAAGGTTCTGTTTTCTTTTCTTTTTATTTTATGTTTCTTTAGTTGTCAGAGAGAATAAGGAAGAGAGAGAGAGAAACATCAGTGGTGAGAGAGAATCATTGATCTGCTGCCTCCTGCACAGACCCTTCTTGGGATGGAACCCACAACCCAGGTATGTGCCATGACCAGGAATCGAACCATGATCTCTTGGTTCATGGGTCAATGCTCATCCACACTGGCTAAGCAAACGTTCTATTTTTCAATTC